GACCTGGAGGGGTGGGCCCTGGGCACGACAGGCAATGGCGGGAGGGGGCTCCAGGCAGCTGGGAGGGGGACATGGTCATGGACCCCTGCTTGTGTCTCCAGGGACCTCAGCGGCCACGCCACAACCACCAGGGGGCTGCCGCGCTCCTCCTCCCGCCCCTGGTGCCCTCCCAGCTGGGGTGCCCTCCTACCCTGCTGTCCCCCTACCCCTGACCCCTCCCGCCCTGGGTGCCCTCCCCCCTGCATCCCAGCACCTGCCCAGGGTCCGGGTGTGGGTGGAGGAGGAGGACCCTCCTGTCTGGGTTCCACAGGCTCCGTGCCCCAGGGACCTCGGCCACACGAGGAGGACGCCTGCAGCCGGTGCACCCATACCCTCCTGGGAGGGCAAAGGCTCAGGAGTCAGGAGAAGCCACGTTTCCAGGAATATTTTACAATCAGAATTAATGCAACAAATAAATGACCAAGTAGCACAAGTTCTAGTAAAGGCAGGATCCCCGGCGGAGCCTGGCTGCCCAGGCCTAGGTCAGGTGTGCGGGGCGCCCGCCCCAGGGCCCCGCCGTGGTCCCCGCCCTCCGCGCTCCCCGCTCCCCAGCCCAGCGGTGACCCGCAGGGAGGCCGAGCTGCCTGGGACTGAGCCGGAGCAGGGGTTCTGGTTGGCCCTTTGGGAAGCCCCAGCCCCTCCCTGGCCCCCAGCTCTGCGGCAGAGCCATCAGGCCACCGTCCTCCAGGGCTGCGGGCCGGGCCTGAACGCCAAACGGCGCCAGGGGCCAGCACCTCGCCAGACGCTTGACGCCTAAAAGTGACAGGTGGCCGGGCCTGCAAGGGGCCCAGCAGGCACGGGTGAGGAGGCGAGTCCGCCCCCAGGGCCCCAGCACCCCGAATTCAGCTCCACGCTGAGGCGGCTGCGGCTCCCTGCCTGGGCCTTGTCTCTTCCCCGCCCAGTCCCCAGCCCCCGCTCCTAGAGCCCAGCGCAGAGTCCATGGGACAGCACACGGCCCCTGGGCTCCAGACCCCGCCCCAACCTCACGATACCCAGGAGGGGAGGGTGCCCACAGCCACCCCCCAGGGCGCCCCCGGCCCTGAAGCCGTGCACCCGCCCAGCGGGCCCAGGACAGACCGCTGGCAGTGACGGAGCAGCCCGGGGGACTGGGGGGGGGGGTGCTACTTGGCAAGCCCCGGGACGCGGCTTTCACCCCGACGGGATGGGCAGGTCTTTCCCAGACCAGGAAAATCGGGGACGCAGGGACCCAAACCAAGCCGTGGCCGTGGGGACACGCACGGGGCCACCAGCCAGCCTTCGGGCGAGGCTGACCTGGGGCAGCAGGGGGAGGAAGGGGCGAGGACAGGGGCGGAGACGGGGCTTCCAGGAGGCAGAGGGGGCTTGACCCAGAGGAGAAACAGGGAGAAGCCGAGGTTTAAGAACACTGGGAGGGGGTGGGGGGTCAAACCTCCAGACAGCCCCCCGCCGTCGGCCAGCGCATGGCCACCCCCACAGCGTGCGGTCTCTTCTCAGGGAAACGGAAAGGCCAGGCCGGGGCCGGGCCCCCTCCCCTGGGGACCCTCACCCGCCCCGGAGGGGACGAGAACCGCCATGTCCAGACCCACCTCCCTGCCAGGCACCCCCAGCTGGGACAGGGCAGGCGGTGGAGTCGCAGGTGGTCACGGCCAAGGGTGCGAAGGTCTAAGCTCCAAGTCCTGCAGCGAGAGGGCGGTAGCCCACCGTGCACCCCAGCCCCCAGCTTGCACACCCCACTGGGCCTGGGTCCCCGGAGCAGGCGTCAACCTCTCTGAAATGCTTTCTGTGGCTTATGACCTGTGTGCCCACAGCGACCACACAAGGCCCGTGCTCTCCCGGCAGGGAGCCCCCTGCCCCCCCACGGTTTCCCAACGGCTTCTGCCCAGAAAGGGGGTGCAGCCTGGGGAGGCCCGCAGGGGACGCGCTACAGACGCCAGCCATGGGGGGCTCCTGGGCCCCGCTCATGACCACCCCCAGGAAGCGCACAGGTGAGCCCCGCGTGCCAGGTGGAGACGACGGAGGCCCGGGGGCAGCATCCAACCTGCAGGGGGCTGCGAGGTGCCGCGTGAGGCCTGGCTGGCTGCCCCCTCCAACATCTAGAACAGCTTGTTAGACAGAAACAGGCTCTTAGGGAAGCAGTGGAGACTCGAGTGGGTGCCCCTCCGCTTCGCGCTTCTCTGGACCTGAGGGTCCCCGGGCCACCGCTTGGGTCCGAAGAGCGCGGCCGGCGTGAGGCCCCGGGTTTGCCCGTGAAGACTGCTGGCTCCCAGGGACGGTGACAGGTGCTGACTCAGGGTGCCCGGGGGCCGGCCCTGCTCCACCTGACGGGTTGGAAGGAAACTGATAAGGGACCCGTGGCAGCTTCCGATGACAACTGGGCCAGGCCAGAAGGGCGCCACGGAGGCCTCCAGCGTGCCAGGTACAGAGTGCTGCCTGTGAGTGGCCGCGGCCGCCCGGCACGGACACCACCCGCACGACGGCTCAGAGCAGCCCACGGGGACACACGCAGGTCCTGCAGGCCCCGGACCCCATGCAACCCCTGGGCGGACGGCCGCTGTGCAAGAGGCTTGCCTGAGGACAGCTGGGGTCCCTGCGCTCCCCGGGACGCGCCCAGGCCCCATGCAGAGCGCCCAGCCCCGGGGCAGAGCCTGCCTTGGGCTCTGCTGTGGCCAGGCCAAGCCGGGACTCTCCACTCGTCCCCCTTGTCGTCCCCACGCCCTACCCCGGGGCACTTCCAGGCCCTCCAGCCGCAGTCTCCCCGCGTAGCTCCCAAAGCTGCTGTTCCGAAGGACCCTGGCCAGAGCCAGCATGTCCCAAGCCGGGCGTGGAGCTCGGGGTGAAGGACCGGGAGGGAGGCTCCGAGGGGGAATGGCGGGGGGCAGATATGGGCCTTGAGCACAGCCTAGCCAGGGCCTGCTGGGGGCTGCGGCGGTAACGCCCCACAACGTGGGCAGGTGTGCGCACCAGCATGCCAGGCGCTCTCCGTGGATTATTCCCCTCGCTCTGCAGAGCAGGGACAGAGGCAGGCCTGGCCGCCAGCTTCTCCACGGGAGGACCTCGAGGCCGCGAGGTCACCCCTGGCCAGGCTCCCATGCTCTAGACGCGGCCTGGGGCCCCAGTGCAGCCCAGGGGCGCCAGGCTGCAGCATCCCTGCCGTGTCCAGGACGCCAGGCTCTGCCCGGGGCGGGCCTGTGGGCCCGTGAGAGGAGAGCCCACTCTCCTGGGCTGCACCCCGTGCAACCGGTAGGGGAGGCGACCAGCCCTTCTCGGCCCTGGCGCCTCCGGCCCCGCAGCATGGAGACCCCGGGGGTGGCCTTCACTCAGGGGTGGACCAGGCCGCCCAAGCCTCGGCCTCGCCCTCGCCCACAGGGGATACGCACAGGAGGCCAGGTCCGGCTTGCAGGGGCCCCCAGGGCTGCCAGGAAGGTGGGAACAGTGGCCAGGGGCGACGGGGACAGGGATTCCTGCCGGGTTGGGGCCCTCGGAACGTGGGGCGCTCCAAAGGACACGACCTACCAGAAGGAAACCAGACCGGCCAGGCCCGCGGGCTGTCCCTGCAGACCTCTGGCGTCCAGCACTTTATTTCCAATTCAGCAGGACAAGCGTACACAGGACGGAATGTGTGTGCCCCACAGGCCCCAAGTGTCTGGCCGGAGGCCGGCAGGTGAGCGCAGGTCGTGCCCGAGGCTGCTGGCCATGCCCCTAGTCCCTAAGCACGACCCACCGGCGGGGCGGCCAGGGGATGGGGTGCAGGCCCCTCCCAGGCCGCACACTGGGGTCCAGCCGCTGGCCCAGGCTGAGCCTGCTTGCGATGTGCAGCCGGGCGGGAGGGGAGGTGCAGGCCGCCAGGCGCCCCGAAGGAGGTGGGTGTGCGAGCCCCGCGCCCAGGGCTCCCGGCACAGCTGGGGACCGCACGCCGGCCGAGCCTGAACTCGCAGCAGCCTGGAAGCTCCTGGGGGGTGTCTCAGGTCGCAGCCCGACATCCCGCATGTGACCCTGTGCCGGCGGCCCCGTGTCCAGCAGCCTCATCTGGCTCCAACTGGAACCCGGCCCCCCAGGGTCCTCCTCCCCCCTGAACCCGCTGCAGGACACGGGCACGTGAGCTACCCTCCTCTTCCACACTCACCTCTCACAGCAACCCCGAGGTCCTGTTGCTCCCTGGCACCGGGGTCCTCCGCGCGGGGACCCGCCTGCCCGCCCCCCACCCAACAAGCGCCCAACTCGGCCTGAGCGGACAGGTCCCCCCCACCCCCCTCCGACCTGGATGCCCTTCCGCACCATCCACCTTGCTCGGCTGCGGCCCCATGTGATGCGTTCCCCCCACGCCACGTCATCACGTCCCATGTCCCCACAGCCCCTGGAAGCAGGAGGGCAGCCCGGGACCGGGGGTCACGCGCCGCAGCGTGAGGTGCCCAGAGCCTGCGCACACGCGAACTCCTGCCGACCCCACCATAACGGGGGCAAGGCTGAGTCCCCTCCTGCCCCCAGCAGCCCCTTGCCCCAGCCCAACCCTCACAAGCACCCAGGCCTCACATGGGCAGACCCACCCCTGCCTCCAGTCAGCCCGCTGTCGCGGGAGGCTTCTCCCCCCCGGTGAGCACAGGCTCCTCGGGTGGGCTCGGCTTGGCCAGTGGGCAGGGGCCAGCGGCACCCTCCCGGGCGGGCCGCCAAGCAGCACCCCGACCCAAGTGGTAGGTGGGCGGGTGGTCCCGGGAGCCGAGGACCTTCCACAGCAGCCCAGGATGAGGACCCGAGCCCGCTCCCGACTCTGGAGCTTGAGACACCCCTGGGCCATGAAGCACAGGGTCCGAGCCCGGGCTCCAGGGCCCCTCACCCACGACACCCCCACCCCCACCCCCCGCCCAGGCCAGCTGACACGGGCAAGGCGGGGAGAACAGGCCCATGGCCTCCCCCACCCGAACCCCGCAGCTCAGAGCCCACGCCGACCCCTCCGGTTCCCCATCACTCTCCCTTCCCTCCCTCCTGCACCCACCAGGAATCAGCCCTCAGCGCCCCCGGGGACAGGGCCGAGCTCTGAGCAACCCCCCCCACCCTTCCAGAACGCCCACCTCCCAAAGCCGTCAGCCCAGCGAGGGTGCAGACAGCCTGGCGCGGCCCCGCACACGACCCTGACCTGGAGATTTTCCTGGGGGCGGCTCTGCCCCACCAGCCACCTGCTTCAGGGGACAGAGCAGCCCCGGGTCTGTGTTGCGTGGGTCACAGCTACCCCCCAGCAGGCCGCCCGGCACGGCAGCCGCGGCCTCGCCAGATCTCCCTGGTTCCATCCAGAGGGTGGGGCTAGAGGTGGGCACCCAGCAAGGTAGGCGCCCCCCCATGACAGCCCAGGGGGTCCCCGACAGTGCAGCCCCTCCCTGAGGACCCAGCCGTCTGGTCGCAAGAGGAGTTGGTCAGGGCCCAGCACTGCTTCCAAAGAAAGCCACCAAGTCCTGGGGAAACGCCAGCGGGGTTGGGGACAGAGCGTCAGGCCGTCCCTGGTGGGGAGCCTGTCCAGGGTTCGCAGCCCGGGGGGGCAGGCATGGGGCGCTCGGGGAGCGGCAGGGAGCGCAGGGCGGGGCAGCCCCCAGCTCGGTCAGGGCAGTCGGGGCAGCAGACACCGTCCTGGGCTGCAGGTCCCGGGAGCTTAGCACCCCCAGCGTCCCCAACCCATGGCCCCGCGTCACTCGGGGGCGGCGCTGGAGCAGCCACAGCAGCTGGGGCGCCATAGGGACTGCATGACGGCTCGAAGCGGGCCCCTCCGCCCCCCCCCCAGGCTGTCCTCGCTGGCGGGCACCCGCTGCAGGTGCTCAAACTGCATCTCCAGGTGCTTCTGGATGGCCACGCCCAACACCTCGGGGTCCAGGGCGGCTCCGTACACCTCCCAGGTCATGCCCTCGGCATCCCACCGCACATCCCGCACAGGGGATGGGGCCTCCTCCAGGCTGGACCCCGGAGTTACCTCTGGGAATGTGGGCAGGGCCCCGGGGGCTTCCAGGGCCGGGCTGGTGGCCACGGCCTTGCACGCTGCCAGGGGCGCTGCCTGCACGCCCGCGTCCTGGGCTGACGGACAGGAAGCCGACACGGGGCCCAAGTCACTGGCTGAAGTCATGGTCCACACGTCCTTGGTCCTGGCAGCAGGCCCCATGGTGCACGCGGCGGGACCCCAAGGGTGGGCACAGCAGCAGGAGAGCCCGGGGGGCCCCCCAGGTAACCTGCACCGGCATGTCCCGCCCTGCTGAGCCTGCAGCCCGGACTCACTCACAGACGCCACCAGTTTGGGAAAGGCCGGGACCCCCGGGGCAGGCAGGGCAGGGCAGCAGCCTCCGGCCCCCGCTGCCGGGGACAGGGTGTGGCAGGAGGCGGTGGCCTGCTGCGCAGTGGCCACGGGCCTGGCCTGGGGGCTGCCGCTCCAGGGGGCTGTCCCTGCCAACCACGCCCCACTCCCTGCCAGCGTCCCGGCTGAGTCCGCCGGCCCTTCCTCGGAAGCCGGGCCCCCCTCCAAGCCCGCGGGGGCACCGCCCGGCTGCAGCTCAGCCGCGTGGACGGGTGAGGCGCCCACGGCCGAGCAGCTGAGGCTGGCCTTCCGGGCGGCACCGTGGCCCCGGGCCTGCGGGCTCCGCACCAGGTCCGAGTGGCTCCTCTGCGTGGCGGCGGCCCCGGCGGTCCTCAGGCGACACAGGTCCCCATGGCCCACGGTTGACATGTTGCCCACAGTGCTGCTCCGCCAGTGGCCCACGGCCCGGACCCGGGGGCTGGGGGCCGGGGGCTGCGGCGCACCATCCACGTGGTGCTCCTCTTCCTCGGGGACGCGCGGCCCGCCGCTCGCCTCACCAGGCTGGGCCTGCCACACGGTGCTGCTGGCGCTCTTGCGGAGCTCGGGGGCACGCCCCCCACCGTCCCCCAGCAGGCTGGACGAGCTCCGCGACAAGGGCTGCGGGCGGGTGCTCATGGCGGCCTGCAGGACAGGGGCGGGGGAGCGGGGCTGAGACCGGGGGGAGGCGGCACAGGACTTTACCACCCGGGGAGGGCCCACTGGCGAGGACTAGCCGCTCCAGAGGCCCCCCCCCCCCCCCCCCCCCCCCGATCCGGGACCGCCCCCCACCAGGCACAAGGCTGCGGCTAAACGCCGACAATACCTTTCCACCTTTCTGGAACCCCTCTGGGCCCTCCCCGCACCCTGGGCCCGGCCTGGGTGAGCTGGGCCGCTGGGACTCAGCCCTGCAGCTGGGAAGGGGACGGGGCTGCCGGACTCGCTCCTCCAGCTCCAGGGGAAGGAGGCCCACGCACTGTCCCTGCACACCCCCATCCCTGCACACCATCACCCTGCATACTCCCAGCCCTGCACACCATCACCCTGCATACTCCCAGCCCTGCACACCATCACCCCTGCAAACCACCAGCCCTGCACACACAGGACCCGCAGCATCTGTTCACTTGGTCCACAGCCGGCTCCAGAGCACCTGCTGTGCCAGGCTGTGGAGCTGGGGCTGCAGAACCCAGACCGGGCTGTGCTCCCAGGAACGTGGTCTAATAGCACCACGCAGACAGGCCTTCCTCATAATTTAAATTCCCTCTTGCTGAGCGGGCCTGCACTCTCCTTGCCTCCCCCCCCCCCCCCCCGCCATTCCTATCCTGTCCTCCAGCCCCGCAGACCCCTCTCTGGTTTCAGAGCCAGCGCAGTGGCGGCCCCCAGCTGGGCTGGCTCCGTCTCTGGCCGAGCAGCGTCCAGCCGGGATGCAGCGACCTGGCCAGCTACGGGCCTCCCACCAACCCGCAGTCACCAAGGCAGGCGTGTGGCCTCTGCCCTCTGTGCACCAGGCACCCGGCACTGACCTGACACGCAGTGACACGCAGCTGGCGCTAAGACTGCCTGGCCAAGGGAGTAAGAGGACGCACGAGGGAGGCCACGGAGAAAGGGCCGTGAGCAGGGCACTGGCAGGGGAGCTCACTTTCACGATGAAGCAGAACAGGCCTGGGGGAGGCCCAGCCCCGAAGTCGGCGGCCAGAGAGCGAGCGAGGAGAAGGCGCCAGTGACAGGGAAGAGAAGGAGCCCAAGGCAGCCGGCTCCCCAGGGGAGCGGTGGGCGGGGGCTGGGCAGGTCCCCACAGGGAGGACCCGCCAGGGCATCCGGGCCAGCCGGGCCGCGGCCAACGCTGGGAACGGGGACTCTCCCCGGGACTCCCAGCCTGGCAGGACCAGCTGGAGAAACAGGGTGGTGGAGGCGGCTCAGCTACAGACTGGGCAATCCCCGTCCTGCCCTCCACCCCGGGCTGATAAGAACTAGCAAGAAACCGACCGCCTCGGCCGGGGGAGCAAGGCCAGTGGAGACGGAGCCTGGGCAGGGCTCCCAGGAGCCGGGTTTCGGCACAGTTACCCACCTCCCCGGCCCTGGTACTCGGGGGACGGCCGCTGGTGGTGCCAGCCCTCGGTGAGGCTGCTTCTGGAGCCCAGTCCCCCGCGGGCTCAAGGCTGGCTGTGGAGTCCAGGTCAGCACAGCTTCCACGATGACAAGCAGATTCTAGTCTGTGCCCTCCGATATGATGGGCACGGCCGCCTGTGGCTACCGAGCCCTTGACAGGTGGCTACACGCTGGCTTCCTCAGTTCAGGTCAACACAAGCGATTTAAAGGTAAATGGCCACAGGTGCTTCGTGACTACAGTCCCTGACTGGGCCGCTCCGGACACAGCTCCCGCCTGCCCCTGGGGGCCAAAGCCAGGCCAAAGCCCTGGTCCCTGGGAGCATCAAGAAAAGGATGAGCAGCCAAGGAAGGGCTAGCACCCAGGCCTTGGGGGCTCCAGGATGGACGCACACAGACAAGGGCGACAAAGCCAGGAACAGCCAGCGACGAGGGTAAGAAGGGACAGCTCCCAGGGTCCCGTCACCTGTGCCAGGCACGTGCACACCCTGTCTACGCACCGGCTCCTTTCATTCTAATTGTCAGGGCAGCCTCGTGACATATGTCAGCAACCCCGTTCTCCGAGGACGAGGCCAAGGCTCAGAGAGGCGTGCTCACTTGCCTGGAGCCCCGCAGCTGCTGGGCGGCTAAGCAGGGATCAAACCCGAGAGCGTCGGAACACCTCGATGACCTCTGTCCCCAAAGCCAACACCCTCCACTGTCCCCGACTTTTTACTCTTCTGTTGCCCTGACTCAGCTGAAGCCCCAGCACCCGACACAGCGGTGCCCATGCCATGCTGGGGGATGGGGGGGGGATGAGGGAACGAGTGGGAATGAAGCCTGGGTCCCACCCGCGTCTCAGCAGCCCCCTAGGCTGCCTGGAGCCTGGGCAGGAGCTGTGCCTGCTGGCGGGAAAGCTGCGGCCACCAACGGCCCCCAGCGGCAGGTTCAAGAACAGCGTCTGGCTGAACCCTACTGACTCAAAACCCTCCTAGGGCCACAAGGAGCCAGGTCAGCTCCCCACCCCCGGGGAAACAGGTGGGATGAGGCTGGGGGTGCCCTCGGGCCCCTCCAGGCACAGCACGGTACCAAGGGTGCTGTGCCCCTCACCAGGACTAGGCATCACCCGGAGGGAGCAGGGACCATGGAGCCCCCCCCGGGACGGTACTTCTCCGCTGCTTCCCTTCTTCATCTCACCCCAGTGGCAGGTGACGAAACAGGCGGAGCAGCTCAGAGGTGTCAGAGCGCCCCCAGCTGAATCCCAACAGGTAATTCTCCCATAATCTGGCCTTCCCAGCCTTGAGGGGGGGAAGCACCTTGAAAAAGTTGCTTGGGCTACCGCAGGGAGGGGTTTCCCACAGGCCCATCGGCGGGAAGAGGAGCCTCCCAGGTGCAAGAGGAGCGGACCACGTGGGCTTTGGTGCTGGAGGGGAGCAGCCAGGGGAAGGGGTTCCGCTCCTAACCCCGTCTCCCCTTCCTGCGCACGTGCCCTCCAAGGGACCCGGTGCTCCTGAGCCTCTTGGTTCGCCCGGTCCGCAAACCAGCAGGAAGTCCCCGCTGCAAGACTGCCGTGCAGCCAGCGTGACGGCGGACTGAACAGAGACCACTGCTAATGACGTGTTCTATCCTCTGTCAGGAGGGACCTGCGCTCAAGGTGTCATGGGAACTAGCACCGGGGGACAAGAGGCCCTTTGAGGAAGCCACTGAGACACCTCTAGGTTAGCCCAGGCTGGCTCCCCAGTCCTCCCCGTCTGCCTCTCATCCTAGGACCAGTGTCTGCGTGTCCATCACGGCACTAAGCCTCCCAGTCTACTTTAAAACTTGATTTGGGAGGATGCACATGCCTACACTCGTACATGCACGCATGCGGGCACACGCCCGAGTCTGGAGTCTGCAGTCACAAGGCCCTAGGTGGCCTGCCCACCTGCCTTGGCTTCACCCCAAACAGACCCCAGGAAGATGCTTTAGTACAGAATAAGGGACAGGCGCACGGAGCTATCCGAGACCCACAGTGTCCTTTGAATGACACCTTTCTGTCCCCTCTTCCTGCCCCATATGATGCCAGTGTGGCCCTGCCTTGTGGCCGGTACAGGAGTGTCCTGCGGCCCCAGCTCTGCTGGTCAGGAAATGTAAGGATCACCAGCCTCACGTGCAGCAATTGGCCGATGTGACTTTGAATAGATCCTCCCGGTTCCCCAGAACCTTCCAAGCTGGCCTGCGTGGCTGACTTGGTCAGAGACTCCAGCTGCTGCCGGATCACCTGGCAGAGGAGCCCAGGCCTTTGGGAGTGTGGCCAGGAGGGCCACCAAAGCCGCTGCAAGCAGGCCCTGCTGCAGACCACCCCATGGTGTCCACGCACACCTCCTCTTGTTCACAGACAAGCATTTGGACGCTGATTCCGACAAGAAAAGCAAACCCGTGTGGTCAGGAGGGGAAAGGGCTCCAATGTTAAAACATGGACCTACACCTCAGGGACCTGGAAGGGACACGCACCACACGAGCCCCTCATCGGAGAGTGGGGTGTGGCTACCTCCAGCAGGTGGTCTGATCCATCCCAGCAGCCAAAAGGGACCTGACAGGACCACTCAAGGCCCCAGGGGGGCAAGGCAGCAAGAAGCATCCCTGAAGGATTGTTTGGAGGGCGTGAAATCTGCCCATCACAGAAGGATGGGGGGGACTTCAGTACCCAATGCTCGGGTCACGAGCTGTGGCCCGGTAAAGTGTTCGAGGATAACTGGGCAAAGGCCCCAAGGACCCAGCACTGCTCACCGGAGAGAGGCCCAGGCCGGCACCAGCCCCAGAGCTTCTTCCTCCGAGGACCATCTGCCCGGGCTTCCCAGGAGGCACCTTGTGGAGAAGGCAAACCTGCTTCAAACCAGAGGCAGCCCCGGGAGCCAGTGCGTCCCCACCTGCATGCTCCCTGCACCCATGCGCTCCCACCAGCCCGGCCGGCCCCACCCGAGGCCCCATCGAGGCAGACGCAAGGCGGCTCGTGGTGGGAGCCGCAGGAAGCAGCACCTCCACAGCTGCCTCTGCACAGCACATGCACAGGCCGCCCTGGCCTCTGGCTGCGGAGCAGACACCCTCTGCCCTCCGCCGGAGCACGGCCCGGCCCTCGCACAAGCCCCCCCACTCAGGGGGAGGTCCTCCACCCAACCCCACTCGGCTAGGGCCTCCCCAGGAGCAAAGGCAGGGGCTGCGGGGAGGGGTTGGGGCAAGGGGGCAGGGTGGGGGGGCAGGAGCGGAGGTGGGGAGGCTGGGGCTGGGCAAGGAGGATGCGGAGCGGCGGGACGGGAGGGACAGGCCGGAGGGGGGGGAGGGAGGACGGGGAGGGCGGGTCCCCGGGGGCGGCTCGGGCCTGGGGTGCGGGGTCAGAGCGACCGCGGAGGTGAGCAGGGGCTTCCGGGGCGCAGGAAGGGGAGGCTCCCCCCCCCCCCGGCACGCGCCCAGCCGCCTCTCACCCGCTCCCCGCTCGCCCGCCCGGGGCCGCGCAGGCCGGCGGAAGCGCTGCTCCTGCGGCCGCCACAGGTGCCCGGCGCAGCGGCCCGAGATGCAGCCGGAGCCCGACCCGGCCCGGGCCCGACACGCCGCCGCCGCCGCCCTCCCGCGGAGCCAGCGCCCGGGAGGCGCCCAGGGCGGCCCGGCCCGGAGGAGGGCGTGGGGGGCGGCGGCGGCTCCGCTCACCTGGCCCGCCCCGCAGCCCCGCCCCGCAGCCCCGCCCCGCCCCCGCTCGCTAGGCCGAGGCCCCGAGGCCCCGAGGCCCCGCCCCCGGGCTGCCGCTCTGGCCCCGGCCCCGAGGCCCCGCCCCCGCCCGAGGCCCCGCCCCCGGGCTGCCGCTCTGGCCCCGGCCCCGAGGCCCCGCCCCCGGCTGCCGCCCTGGCCACGCCCCAGCCGAGGCCACGCCCCGGGCTCCCGCTATGGCCCCGCCCCCGCCCGAGGCCCCGCCCCCGGTGCCGCTCTGGCCCCGCCCCCACGGCGCCCTGGCTGCAGGCATTGCACCCGGTCCCCGCGGCCCACGAGCCCCCGCCGTCCTTCGCGACCTCAGGGCGGGTCCCCCGGCCGGCCCGTCCCTCCGGCCCCGCCCCCTCGGGCCCCGCGCGTCCTCTGGCGACCTGGGTCCTCCCGCTCTGCCCCAGGTGCCCGTCGTCCCGGCCCCACCCTCGAGCCCCCTTGCTCTGGGGCCCCCCCACCGTCGGCCCCGGCTGGTCCCCCGCGGTCCCCCCGCCGCGCGCCCGGTGCTCCGAGCCCAGAACCGCAGGGTTTCCTCCTCCCAGCTCCTCTGTCGCGGACTCAGAGACGACCCGGGTCCTCCGCGGCCCCCCCGCCCCCCCCCGCCCCCTTGCTCCCCCAGCCCTCCCCCGCTCCCCTCCCCCCAGAGCCTTCCCCCCTCCCCCCAGCCCTCCCCGCCGCCCCCCTCGCCCCCCCAGCCCTCCCCCCCACCTCCCCCAGAGCCCAAGCAGGTGGACGCCATCTCTGGAAGCCCGGGTTCCCCCACCCTTCCCCTGCCCACATCCTCACCCCCACCTTCGCCGGGGCCCCACCCCACTGCAGGCCCTTCAGTCTCCAGCCTGCCTGTACCCCCGCACCTGCATCCCCCAAACGCCCCGCCACCCCCCTTTCTGCTTCGCAGCTCCGGGAAGGGTCCCGCCGGGAGCACCTGCTCCTGCCCCCTTTCCCTCTCCGTCCCCCAATGTCTGACAGCCACTGGCCTGCCTAGGGGTTCAGAGAGGTGCCACCCACTCTGGCCTGCCCCTGACCCCTTCAGCTCCCGGAGGTTCCTGCCACCCATCCCCCCTCCTTGTAAGAAGAGGGTGTGCATCCCATCCCTGGCCCCCGTCTCTGAGAACTGGGTCCCAGTGTTGACTCTGGACTCCAGCTCTGGGGACCCCTGGTTTGCCTGCCCAGCCTTCTGCCGAGGGGTCTGACCTCTTTGGTCCTGTGCTCCCCACACCCCCCTGCCCCGGCCACCGCTCCAGCCAGTGCCTCTCTGCTCCTCCTGCGGTTTGGGAGAGCTCAAGGCCCGGTTCACGTCTTCAGCCTCACCCAGCCCTGCCCAAGGCCAGAGCGTCAGCAGAGGGTCAGCGGGAAGCCCCTCGCCCCGGCGCCAGGTGGAGAGTGGGAAGCCGGACAGAGTGTGCACCATTCCCCCCTCCCCCAGCCCCTAGCCTGGCACCTGGCCTGGTCCCAGAGCAGGGGTGTGCAGTACGGTGCAGCAGATGTGGCTGGAACATCACACGCAGCCACCCCCACCCCCACCCACCCCCGCTGCCCTGTTCTCCAGTGCGGGAACCCCCACACCCAGCCTCGGCGTCCCCATCTGGAGCTCTGAAGGGCCCTCTTCAGATTATCTCAGAGCCAAGGAGACAACTGGGACCACCCTGTCACCCACAGCATTTGGGGCCGCAGGTCAGGCCCTCCCACTTCCCCGCTGACCTTTAACACAGACATCCATGCCTCCCCATCCCCATGCCTTCACCCTGGGGTCCCGCTGGCTACGGGCCTGGCCAGAGGCCTTGGCCCTACCTCCTCTGCCCCCCACTCCCCGCCCCCATGGTCAGCTACAGCTTCAAACTGGAGTTCAGTCCCTGGTGGAGACTCACTTCCTGAGTTCCGGGAAGACTCCCACTGCCCTAAGCACCCCTTTCCAGTGGGGCTGCAGAGCATCCACCCAGAGTCTGGTACCTGGCTCCGGGGGGAACGGGATGACCACGATGAGGCCCCAGGCCCTGTCCTCCAGCACACACCGGCTGGCAGGGGCATCCTGCCCCAAAGGGGGCACAGGGGAGACTGTGCTGAGGCCACCAACCCTCTCCTGCTCCTGCCTAGCGATGAGGGCCCCTCCTTTCCAGTCTCAGGGTCTTACCCACATTCCCTTTTTTTTAAATTTTTATTTTTTTATGATAGTCACAGAGAGAGAGAGAGGGAGAGACACAGGCAGAGGGAGAAGCAGGCTCCATGCACCGGGAGCCCGATGTGGGACTCGATCCCGGGTCTCCAGGATCACGCCCTGGGCCAAAGGCAGGCGCTAAACCACTGCACCACCCAGGGATCCCCCACATTCCCTTTTTAGGGAAACCAACCAAGCCCCGAGAAGGGACAGGCTACCTGGGGTTACAGGGAGAGTGGGCTCCGGCCCCTGCGGCTCCCAGGTCCCTGGCCATGAGCCAGCCCTGAGGACCTCGAGCGGGTGTTCCGGGGGGGGGGGCACCTGGGCCACTCAAGCTGCGGGGTTTCTGAGCGCCCACAGGGCCCCAGCACCTGGCCAGCGGGTCCTCCTCTTCCTCTCCTTCCAACGGTGGCTTGGCGAGAAGCTTCTCCTGCTGTGGCGGCCGCCCAGGGGAGCCAGCCTGAGGCTCGGCCGCAGTCGCGATCCGACTCCTCCACATACTCCCCCCCCCCAGCGGCACTGCTCCCCTCTCTGGCCTCGGTCTCCTCATGTGCACAGTGACAGCAATCCCCTCCCCCCACCCAGGCCACGGGGAGGATGTGGCTGCGCAAGGGTCCCCCCAGCTCTTGCCATTGTCAGCCACTTGACCAAGGATCCCCGAGCTCCTCCGGTGTGGGCTCTGCGGGCTGTGGGGCGGCTCTGGGCTCGTCAGGATGAGAGGCTCCGGTTCAGGCCCCGGGGCCAAGTGCCACTTCTGGGGACTCGGAACCTGATGGAAAAGGACAGCCGGGAGGCTCAGGAGTTCAGCGGGGCCGGGCCAGGACTCGGGGCCGAGGCGAGTGGCACACGTGGAACTCCGGGCTCCCGGGCCGTCTGGGCATCCCCCTGCAGGGGTCCCTGAAGTCCTGGAGTAAGTCAGGTCCTCAGGGGGAGCGAAGCGAGGGTGGCCTCCCAGGCGGCAAAGGCCTGTGCAGCAGCCAGAAGGGACAGGGGAACTTGGGACATTGCTGGGACGCGGGGGACCCGAGCCGCTTCACCAAGGTGCCGGAAGCCGAACCCCCACAGCGCACTGGGGGGGGGGTGTTGGGCCAGAACCCAGGATGGCCGCGGGCACACACTCTTCGAAGCAGGACCATAAAGGGGAGAATAAAGGGGGGGGTCACCCGGCAAGGGACGTGCGGTCAAGAGAGATTTGGGGGTTTCGTTCGGTTGTTCGGTTTCCTTTCTAGGATGCCGCGTCATGGAGCAGGAGTCCTTGATTTCAAGCGACAGAGAACAATTCCGGGTCAGATAGAAAGAGAAGGTGCTGGAAGACTTGGGGGAGCTCAGGAAGGAAGCTAATGTGGAGCGCTAGCCTTGCTCCCCAGGGTGGGAGCCCGGGGACCCCAGACCCCAAGAGCAGGGGCCGCTCCACAGTCTTGCCCTGTCCCTGCCTCCGGAGGAAGGATTCCGGGTTTTTCCTCCTTTGTTCCCGTTCAAGGTTCAAAGCCTCAGGAAGCAGGAGCTTGTTTGGGGAGATGGGGCCGCGTGCCTCTGTCCTTGGAAGGCAGGGGAACGCTTCTCAAGTCTGTCCAGGACCACCACAGCCTAGTAGGACATTTCCCGGGTTGGGGCGGGGGGACGGGGCCAGACGCACACGGATCTGCGCCCCGTCGTGACGGTGACAGGAAGGAGCCGTGGGGAGGGACTGGCTGGGGAGCCGGGAGGGGACCAATGGCCAGCGGAGGTCCCGGGGGCTGGGGCCTGGAACCCGCGAGGCGGGAGGAGGCGGCTTCCCTCTAGGTGGAAAGTGGGAGGACTGAGGCCACGCACCTGGGTAAGCCCCGGCTGTGAGCCTCTGGACTCTGCTTTGTCTGTGGAGCAAAAGGGAGGCTCTGGTGGTGACGGGGAGAGAGGACAGAGGGGAGTGGGGGCAGCAGAGGAGGCTGGCGGGGGCATCGCGGATGGATGCCCAGTGGGCGGTGACGGGCAGTGTCAGCTCAGGCCACCATCACGCAGATGTGGGACTGAGCCCCCCGCGGGCTCCGGGCTGCGCAAGTCTGCTTGAGGTTCTCTCCCTCCCTCTCCTGCCCTGCGCCCTGCGATAAAAATAAGAGAAAAATAAAAAGCGATGGTCGTCACAGAGAGGGAAGGAGCCTGGGTCGGCCACCCAGATGCAGCAGAAGCCTGCCGAGCCTACGGGGCGGGTGGGGGGGGGAGGGCAGCAAGACACAGGAGCAGCAACAGCGCCCCCGGGCAGCAAGTTCCAGGCAGGCGGGGGGGAGGGGGCCTTGGAGCAGGCGGGGACGAGGCGGGCCGGCGGGGGTGCAGCCCTGGCTGACCAGCGGCCACGGAGTTCGAATCCAAGTTACTCCGCCTGTGCGACCCCATGAATAATTGCGTCTCCGCTCTTTAGGTCGTGCATGAACTGATGGAAAAGGTGTCGGAAGAGAAAGCTCCATCCTCCCCCAGAGGACTGGGTTACACGCTCTGCGGAGTGAGTCCGGAAGCCGTAGGCCGCGTGTGGGAAAGGCCACCTGGAAAAGAACGGGGCGGGGGGTCACAAGAGTCTAGGACATTTCTGAATCAGGTGGCAGCCCGCTGTGGTTGGGTCACTGACTCGCCCCCCAGCTGGTCGTTGGCTAGACCCGAGCCCCGGATAAAAGGGCCAATGCGGTGCCATTTAGGCAGACGGGAGGGTTTTTTGAATCCAGCTTAAAGCCAAAGACTCAGAGGAGGTGGGCACGCTTCCCTCTGGGCCAAC